GAATTGTCCTAGTGAGTAAAATATACATAGACCAAAAGGCAGGTAGTCATTCGAACAGAAAGGAGACACTGAAAGGTGTAAAATCATGAAAAGGGTGTGCCAGGGTTGTAGTCACCATATTCAACCTGCGCAAATAACCCGAGAAGCGGGATTATATGAAGAACGTGGCATCAGGATTGGAGGAAAACTCATTAACAACCTGTGATATGCAGATGATACAACCTTGCTTGCTGAGAGTGAAGAGGGCTTGAAATACTGCTAAAGATCAAAGATCACAGCCTTCAGTATAAGTTGCACCTCAATGTAAAGAAAACAAAAATCTCCATCACTGGACCAGTAAATAACATAATGATAAATAGAGAAAAGACTGAAGTTGTCAAAGACTTAATTTTGCTTGGATCCACTATTAACATTCAGAAAGCAGCAGTGAAGAAACCAAAGGATACACTGCATTAGGCAAATCTGAAGCACAAAACCTCTTTAAAGTGCTCAACAGCAAAGATGTGAATTTTAGGACTTAGGTGAGTCTGACCCAAGCGATGGTATTTTCAATAGCCTCATATGCATGTGAAAGTTGGGCAATGAATAAGGAAGACCATAAGAGAAAGCACAGCCAGAATGCTCCTTAGAAGTCAGTAGGTGACACTTCATTTCATACTTTGGACATATTTATCAGGAGGGACCAGACTTTTAAGAAGGACATCATGTTTGGTAAAGTAGAAGGACAGCAAAAAGCGGCAGGCCCCAATGAGATGGATTGGCACAGTGGCAGCAGCAGTGGGCTCAAGTGTAGCAAAAATTATGCGGATGATGCAGGACTGGGCAGTCAGCTGCCCAGTTCTGTTGTGCATTTGTTCTGTTGTGCATAGGGTTGTTATGAGTCAGAACTGACTTGATGGCACTTAACAGCATGAAGAAGCTTATAATGCAGTCTGAGTGAAGATTAAAACTAACTATCTGCTTGTCATACTTTGGTGGCTTGCATGTTGCTACAATTTTGGAAGCTAAAGCACTGTTCAAATACTATGGTAGACAAGTTTCAGTAAGTCACTGGACTAAAAGTAGGAAGAAAGACCAGATCTACTTCTGAAAATTAGCCAATGAAAACGCTATGCATCACAATAGAACATGGTCCAACTAGCTTGCTTTGGACCTGTTATCAGGAGGTATCAATCACCAGAGGATGATGTTTGGTGGGCCTATAAGAGCGTAAGAGACCCTTAGTTGATGGATTGGCAGAATAGCTACAGGGATGGACTGGAGATTGTGAGGCGGACTCAAGACTGGGCAAAATGTCGTCGTGCGTATGGAGTTGCCGTGAGTTGGAGTTGACAGCAGCTAACAGTAACAACACAAAACTACTGTAGAAAACATTCCTTTATTCAACAATTTAAAAAAATGGAATGGCTTTTATGTGCCAGTGTTTGTATTCTACAGGGGAAGAAAGACTTCAAATATAAAACTGGCATAGGATGTGGTGGACAACAGGTGGTCAGGAGTCAACATATAAATGGAGTGGAAGGTAAGGAGAAGAAAGCATTCCATGCAGAGAATATCACCAGGAACTTAAGGAATGCCACTGGGTGGGATGTAGTTATAGAAGAGTAGTGAGTTAAAGGGTTAGATTATACAATACAGAGAGCAGTCATCAAAGAGTTTAAGGTTTGAGCAGCAGCTTGGGTATTTTAGTGCAGCTTTACATGTTGTTAAGCACATTGAGTTGGTTCCGATTCATAGTGACCCTGTCTAGGGTTTCCAAGGAGTGGCTGGTGGGTTTGAACTGCTGATCTTGCACTTCAAATTGCCTTTGCAGTTTAGTGCATTACCCTGCAGCACCAAACCAGGACTCCTTATATACTCTTACACTGTTGTTGTTAAGTGCTGTCCCGCTGGTTCCAACCCACAGGGACCCTGTATAGGGTTTCTGAGGAGTGGCTGCTGAGTTTGAACCGCTAACCTTGAGGTTCAAACCAACTTTGCAGTTCAGTGTATTTACCCACGGCACCACCAGGACTCCATATACTGTTATAGCCCACACAATTACCCCTACTTCAGGTGAAGGCCCAGAAAGGATACATATCTTGCTCTAGTAAGTGGCAGGCTCAGCCAGCCTATACTCCTAAATAGACTGACTTGAAATACACAAGGTGGGCATCATAAAAGCATCTGGAACAATTCCATTACCTTTCAATTACAGTTTCCACGAACTTTTTGAAGTCTCATATTTAACCAGATGCAAAATCAAACCCACAGACACTGAGTCGATCCTGGCTATCCCATTGTTTTTGTTTGGTGCCATTAAGTTGGAACTGACTCATAGCACAACAGAATAAAACACTGTCCAGTCCTGTGCCAACCTCACAATCGCTGCTACACTTAAGCTCATTGCAACTGCCACTGTTACAATCCACCTTGTTGGGGGTCATCCTCTTTTTCTCTGACTTTCCACTTTATGAAGCAAGTTGTCCCATAGGATTTCCAAAGCTGTAAATCTTTATGGAAGCCGACTGCCACAAATTTCTCCCACAGAGCGGCTGGTAAAATGGAACTACCAACCTTTCAGTTAGCAGCTGAGCTCTTTGACCGCTGCGCCAGCAGGCCTCATATTAAGACATTTTGGAGGTAAAATTTGTAGCATTTGGAATGTACATACAATATTTATTTTGCAGAGGTCTGTCATGGGAGAGTCCTTGCAGGCAACTCAGTGCATGGTGGTGGTGGATTGAAAAATTCTAGTTGGTGTGATCAGGAGAATAAAAGGGCAGGGGTTTAACAGATGTGAAGGATTTTGGAAAGTGATAGTGGGGAGGGACACTTTCCAGGTGGTGATCCTGGAAAGAACAGCATGAACAAAGATAAGGTGAGAAACTCCACAGTATAAATGTGTAGGAAAGCTCCATGAATGACCTTTGCCCTTTCAAGACCCTTCTTAGAGAAGATGTTATGTAGAGAATAAGCAGATACAAAAAGCACATCCTCAATGAGATCTTCCCCATTCTTCCCCAGAAATTAAGGGCTAAGAGGAGCAGGATAAAATGAATACAGTAGGGTTAGAAACTAGCGATTAATCCCCAAACTGGCTTAAAACATATTTAGAACAGTACCTAGCACATAATGAGCACTCAGTGAAAAGTGACAGTTCCAACTAGATGGGCAATGTTTACGTTTCAATAGGCTACTACTCCCTCTAGCCCTGAGATGCCTGTGGTACACTTTCCTCAAGTGACTCCCCAAACCTCAAGGAAATCCAAATGAAAAGAGTACCCCGTTTCCTGCTCCTCAGCGTAATCAGACACAGCAGGTGTGACTCCTAGTCATGAAATTCAGACCAACCCAAACCAAACCCAGTGCCCTCGAGTCAATTCCAACTCAGAGCGACCCCATAGCACAGAACAGCCCCATAAGGCTTCCAAGGCTGTAACTCTTTATGGAAGCAGACTGCCACATCTTCCTTTCACGAGCGGCTGGTGGGGAAATCCAGAGGTGCCCTCTTTTCCTAAAAACTCCAGGCTTAACAATCATGGCAAAACAGGCACTCGCATATTAAAACAACCCTTCTTCAAGCAAATTCTCTGTCATCCTTTCCCAGAGAAACCTGAAACGCTGTTAGCAAGCTTGGTTGTAAAATTCTGAAAGTGCCTTACAGCCCAGCAGCCAAAGTGTCCCGTAGTCCGCCCATCCCCCAAACCAAGGCGAAACTTTTCGGCTTCCCTTTCAGAGACTGTAAGGAAGTAAGAAAGACAGGCGGGGACTGGGTCTCTCTTAACGTGCTGTTAAGAAAGAAGAAGAAGAAAAAAAAGCAGCGGCCGTCACGAACAGGATTCGAACCTGTGCGGGGAAACCCCATTGGATTTCGAGTCCAACGCCTTAACCACTCGGCCACCGTGACTCCCCAAACCGCGCTCCGCCGTGCGCTTACAGAAGGGGTCCGCATTGCGACCGGGGAAGGAATACGACCGCGTATTCATGGAACCCCGACCCACTCACACACCTTCTATGCCTCCCAGCGCCTTACCTCTCTTCACTGCCACTCAAAGGAAAAGGGCCGGGTGGATGGGATGGTAGGAGGGTCTCTCGTCTAACGAAGTGTTAGGGTCTTAAGGAGCGCACACCTATTTAGGAGGCAATGACGAAGCCTGCAGAGAAAGCGGTTGGAGGCAAGGGACTGGGCCCCAAGGGTGGCGGCTAGGGGACTCCTCGGTTTGAGGTGAGAGGAGGATTCCAGAGCAAGGTCTTGGATCTGAAGGGACCTCTGGAAGAATTTAAAGAGGGAGCTCCTGGGGATGGATGAAGGGAATTTATTGGGAAAAGCGTTTGGTATTCCTTGGTATTTTGGACTTTGTGGAGTTAGGGGTGTGCAAGGAAGGAAAAGACAACTCGGAGCTGAGGTTCCTCAGGCTACCGGTGTCCTGGAAGTAGGTTAGAGAAGCACCCCGTCCCAAGGGCTGAGGAGGCAAAAGGAGAGAAAGAGCTCCGCGTCAGGTTAGGGGCGATCTCAGGAGAGTGGGCGCCCCCTCCAGGAAGCAGCCGTCTCCCGGGAGGCTTCCGACGCGGCTATTGCCGCCGCCGCCGGGAAGGCCACCGGATTGATCCAGGCGCCGAGGCCTCCTGCGCCGCCGCCGCGCCCAGCCCGGCGCTCACCGGACCCTCGGGCTGGCCCGCGCCCTGCGGCTCCCGCTCGGGGACGCGGCTAACCGCGCAGCTGCCATCTTGGGAGCGTGGCTGTGCGGGAGCCGAGGGGGTTCGGGCGGGAACGTGGGTGACGGGATCTGGAGGCCTGGCGCCGGCTCGGGCCACTGCAGCACCCGGTGCGTGTCTGGGGGGAGGGGAAGCGGTGCTGTGACTCTGGTTGTGCGTGTGTGCGGTATATGCTCACGGTGTGCGTGTGCGTGTGCGTGTG